GGATGGATGGATGGATGGATGGATGGATGGATGGATGGATGGATGGATGGATGGATGGATGGATGGATGGATGGATGGATGGATGGATGCAGATAAAACATAAAATAACAGTAATAATGTTAATTCTTGTTCTTTTATCACAGAACTCAAAGCCCACTGAAACATATTAGTCCTGTGTTGTATACAATAAGCACTCAATACTTCAGTTTGTTCTAGGTGCAGTAATTCCACCTATTGAGTTTGATAAAACCAGGCTCAACAACACCAGCAGAAGAGAAGAGATATAAAAATCATCAGAAACTCTGAAAACAAGGTGAACAAGGTGTGCCTTTCTGCTCTTCGTTGGAACTCTAGCAGCGTGCGTTCCACTTGGCATCGATGTAGACTTTTTTTCTCATCAGCACAGAAAACATATTTCTGACATAGTCTTTGGTTCAGAACTGTTACACAAAGAACACCACAGCTGTATATCTTGCTTGTTACATCCGTAAGCAGAGAATCTTGAAGCACATCTCCCCCAAATCCTTTCAAACTATAAACTTTTTTTTTCTTTGACCCTTTCTAACACACTTTATTCCATTGACCGAGCTTTCATTAGTTTGCATGAATTTAGAACAATGTGAACAATTACTTCTTGTAGCCTACACTCATTGTGGAAGGTTTCAGCGATTGCCCACCGTAAATGCCAAATCAGCAGTGTTCCCCATAATTGTGTGGTCCACAGCATGGGCATAACATTTTTGCAGAAACAATCATTTTTATTCACCTTAACAAAATTTTCTGAGAACCTCAGTTTTGAGATTACTTCAATGAAACCAATATAAATTTAGTATCCTACGTGAAACATCACTGTGTGTAAAGCATCTGTTTAATATATGAATTTTACTTCAGCTGAATGACTGAAATAAGTCAGCTTTTTGATTAATAATATTTATTGAGACACACCTGTATCATATTAATACAGTTTCACTGAGTACAGAAAAGCAAAGTTTACTACTTTGTTTACTCTGGGAGAAAAATGTTGAAAAGCTAACAATTAATGCTTCTCTTGTCAGTTATTTAAAAAAAAATTCTTGGCCTGCCTTCATGGCAATTGGGAAGGAACGATTAGCTCTATGGTTGTTAATCATTTCATATAACTGATTTATTACTTTCTAACTTCTAGATTAGGATGAATAGAATTAAAGGAATAAAAAGTGGGATTCAGAAAAAGGTATATCCAGTGGCACAGATTTTAGGTCAGGTGTGGGTTAAGCTGTGGGGAAAGAGTCATGTGCAGCCATCGATCAGCTAGAAATAAAAATAGCCGACAGTGTCTAGGCCAGTGGTTGCCAAAATATTTGTCCCCAAGGCAGACCAAAGGATAAATAAAAATTCAAGGCACACCTGTTGTGTAAAATAACAACTATATTACTTACTAAACATTTATTAACAACATATTTCAAATAATAGTGTAAACTTTATCAAATTGTGCTCAATCAAACACTCTCGTTTAAACCAAACAGGTTTAAATTCAGAACTGTCCATGAGAAAGCTGCACTTTTCATGGTCCTGAATCTCACCCACAAATGATAACTATAACATTTTGAATCAGCCTTCCATGTGCTTTTGTAAACATTTCACAAACTAACAAATTGGTGGGACACATGTGCCTGTCGGTGCGCACACAATTTTTTAATCCTTGGTGGCAATGAGGAGAGAGCCCTGCTCAGCAGAGAGTGAGCTGGTCTTGTTCTTCATGTAAATAAGGGTGGAGAATGCCAATTCACACAGTTAGGGGATGGAGAAATGAAGAAGCTAGTTGACAGCGTGATGAGAGATGGTTGGGTATTCTGATGTACAAACAGGCCAAAATAGACTGAGTGGGAGCTCACTGGGGGCTCACTAAATTATAGTTTCAGTGTGCTGTCTGCACACTGAGGACTTAGACTCTTGGTTGAATGGGTCTCGGATCCAATCATAGTCCTTGATGTCTGGTACTGTACATGTGGAAAATAATGCTCAGACCTATCTTTTAAGGTCTGAAGATGTTCAGCATATACAGTGCACTCTCTGGCTGCGTGCCAGTGGGAATATGTCCATAGGACCCTGTTCCAAAGACTCGCGCCAAAGGGTCAGTTCGCCCATAAACCCCTGAATTTTACCAGTGGATGATAAAATGTTTTCATTCCTGCCCTGAAGCTTTGCAAAACTCATTGAGATGTCCAAATACGATTGCAAGATAAGCCTGGCGCATCACCTCTTATCCAAAAGCCTCTCCTTAGATGAGACATGTGTTCTCTTGAAAATTCAAAAGCTCCTCCAGAAGCTCATAATGAGGGGACAGGTCTTTCCGCTGTGATTTTTATCTCCTGCCAGTCCTCTTACTTCTGATACCGCAGCGTCTAGGACTCTCTGGGCGGTACCTTCCGCATCTTGTTGGCAGCCGACCTGCTGGAACCAATCTCACCATTTGGGCTCGGACTAAACTATAAGACCAGGTTAGTGACTAGGGGTGTAAATAATAATCGTTTTTTATTGATGCATCGATCCAACAGCCGACGATCCGATGCATCGATACGTCTGCAAGAGTATTGATTCATGTTTTTTTCTTCCTCCGGTCTATTTTTATCCATTTGCTCCTGGACGTAATTCTCCCCCCCGTGCTGCGGTGGCGCTAAACCTATTTTGCCCTCCTACCTCGCTTCCTGGTTATACTCTGACAGCAGTGTGTTGCAGTGAGCTTGACACAGACATTTTTGATTTATGCTCAATATTGAAGCGTGGTCTGCGCTTCACACACGGCCGAGGCGGTGAGGAAGTGGGGGCAATTTTGTCCGACGACGAAGGGACATGAGGGCCAAAAAGAGCGGAGATCCAGGTGGAAAAAGGGTCCCAGCGTTCTTGCGCACCTCGCTCTTCTAGCGGTTCAAACTTCACGAGTTGTTTTCAGCAATTTTGGTCATAAAAACAAAACAAGCCGGCCTCCTGTCTGCGGCACTGTTTGCGGTGACCTACAATTTGGGAGAGGTGCAGCGGAGCTTATGTGGAGGGGGCGGGGACGACTGGAGCCGAGGTATTGAATTGCACTCATTGCACTGATTTTGTGCAGTATTTTTTGATGCAAAGCCTTTCAGAATCTATAACGCAGGGGCATTATTATTTTACAGTGAATGAGGTTTTAACAGGCCTAGGTGGAGTGCAACTTCTCTACTTCTGTTATTTGCTTTTGTTTCTCAGACAAAATGCATAAAGATATTACAGCTTTCATTGATTTATTTCAAATTTGAGTTTGAAAGCCATAGTTGTCAAATTTTGATCCTAATTCTGGTTTCACTTCTAATTTCTGGTTAATTAAGACTACTATTAGGAGGGTGCAGTTAGAGCAGCTGGCATAGAGGAGAAGACATCAGCTTCAAGATTTTAATTGACATTAAAAAAGTTTTTGGACCAAAAACATCATGACACTAAAGTCTCACTCTTGTCATTTCCGGATTCGACCACAGTGAGCAGTGCTTATATTTTGTTACCAACATTTCTTTTCCCAATTCTCATTTCACATCCTCTTTACCGGTCTTCTCTTATCCTCCCTTCAGTTGGGGATAACAGGAGGGCCATTTATTGTCACACTAATAAAGGGGTATGAGCTGAAGAGAAACTAAGAGCAACCAAAATAATGTCTCCTTTCCTAAACTGGTGTGTTCATTGCACTCTAATGCCATTTTATTCTTATCAAGCATAAAACAATGAAGCAAACAAATGAATAATTCTCAAATAAAATGTGTTTTCACATAATTTCATTGTTGGAATATAGCATTTTTTCAATAGAAAACATAAATTCTTCCAATATAGATTAAAAGCAATAGGAATATCATACAGTACAATAATAAAAAACAAGTTATTGTCCATCTGGATGTATTCTGATGTGCCTTTCTTTCATATACTTTTTTCTTTGTACTTAAAAAGCAGAAATAGTTGATAATGCTTTACACAAGCACTCTTTATTAAACATTTCAAGATCTGGGAACCAGTATTTTTATTTTGGGGGTGGACCTTGACATGATTTTAAATTATTATTTAGCAAAAAATAAATGAATACATAAAAAAATATATTGTCAAGTTTCATACTTTTCAATTACATTTTTTTAATTTCTAAAAAGTACTCAAAGAATATATGATATGTCACTAATTCCTAATGTGTAAAAAAACAAAGCTGCTATATTGGTTTAGGACCATTTTTCACTAAAAACCTATAAGAATAGGCCTTTTTAAAACAAACTTGATTGTCTAAAAAGCAGCGTAATTTAATATGAGTGTACTAATCCTCAGTAGTTGTTTTGGCAGTTACCTACATACATACCACCACGTATGGTGTCTATTATCACTGGGTAAAAAAAAAAAAAAACTCCATCCAACATTTACATCACTTTGATTTACTTCAGCGTTTTGCCTCATGTGCCTCGTTTTTCTGACATCACACAGCATCAACTCACCAGCTAGGAAACAAACCCTCCAGAGACCAGAGTGAAGGGACATGCGCATCTCCATGCTCTGGTTGAGAGGAAGGATGACCCCCTCCTCTAGGTAGAGCCAGTAGTCTGTGCTCACGGCGATCCCCAACAGGCCGAGGCCGCAAACAGCGAACACGCTGCTCAGCAACGTCAGCGCTTTCCTTCCGAATAAGCTCATACCAAAGCCTCAACAGCAGGAGTGCACAGCTGGCAGAAAGTGGAGCTAAGAGAAATAAAGAAATATAGTAACAAATTAGGAAAACAATACTTTAATGATCACATTAAACCTAATGCTGGTGAAGATTCTCAGTCATCCAGGTCATACTCATTCTAAAAAATTTAAAAAACAAACATCTTCAAACTTGGAAAACACAGCCCAGTGTTTTGTTTTTTAACTTGTAAAACTTTTTTGGTTTTAAACCTAATGCAAACATTTTTGATTCAGCTTAATGTTTTTTTTTTTTTATTTATTAGTGATTTTTTTTTCAATACAAACAATATTAATGATTACTCCCTGAAAGAAATTATTGGTAACAACCAACATCGATCTTCATGTTATCATGTTTATCTGTTACCACAGTAATTGTCATTACAGTCATTATTTTCTCCTCCTTATTGCAAACCAGAAATCCACAGCAAACAGAGAGAAGGCAATAAAAAGGTTATGCAACTTGGGCTTTTTCTTTTTTTCAGATGAGAAAAAGACGATTTGTTTTCTTCAACTTGCTAAATTATCTTGTTTTTAGGACAAAACTTTAAACTAATTAATACAATTATTGTGCTAAAAATAGTACAAAAGCTGGTCATGCATTCATTCACTATTAAGAAATTTAAATAATTTTTCTTTTAACCTCAAATTAATTTAATTTTACTTTAAATTATAATTGGCTTTTTTTCAGGTAACAGAGTCAAAGTACAGTAGACAGCGTCAAAAATAAGACCAACATGTGAATGTGTCATGTGAATATGACTGTAGTCAGCATTTTCCGGAAGCTGAAGCCGGAGACTGGCAGACTCGATGAAAAGAACTGATTTCACATAATGAGTTCTCAGTATGCTGTCACACCAAGAACACAGTGAAACCAGGAAGACGGAGGAAATGTGTGAAAGGATTTTCAACCTTACAAAACACATCTGGCTTATGATGGATCAATGCTTTGTATCACGGCTAAATATGAATCTTCGGTAGAATAATGATGAAATATCTTCATAACTGTCATCTTAGAAATGCAAGCTAGTGTTTCGACCAACAGAAAACTCACCAGGTTGATGTGTGGTGAATATGGTTAAGAAAAAGGTTTTTTACAACATTTCTTTCTAAAAGAACCCTTAAAGGTTAAAAAAGGTTGTTTATTTTATGAAACTTATTCAAATATTCCTTTTGTTCACAGAAAGTTTGGAAAAGTTAGATTAAACTTCTAGGGAGTTAAATTCTATTTTTTTAAATTGTCTATTTTGGTCAACATTAGATGGAATTCAAATAACCATTCATGGTGGCAAGGCTATACATATCTTAGCCGCAGCTACAATTCTTTGTAGAACAACCACATCCCTGAAGTCACTATTGTTTTTGTTATAGAGAGGTGTGGTCTTCATAGCTCACCCGGCTAACGGAGCTAGTTCAACTTTTAGCAGTTGTCTCTTTGGAAAAACAGCTTAAACCTGCCCTCCATCCTGCCTCTCTACTCACTAGCTTCCTATGTAAAGCAAACAATCAAAGTTTGACTCCCAAACTTCAGGAGTGGTTACAGCAGATCCCTGGAAATACATCAGACATCTCGGTCCAAAAAAAGTGCAGTTCTAGGAATAGCAAAGATACTGCGCAGAACCCTCAAGCTCCCAAGCCTCTGGTAGAGGAGACCAAATGGAATAGTTATTTTTATTTTATAGATAGATAGATAGATAGATAGATAGATAGATAGATAGATAGATAGATAGATAGATAGATAGATAGATAGACAGACAGACAGATAGATAGATAGATAGATAGATAGACAGACAGACAGACAGACAGACAGACAGACAGACAGACAGACAGACAGACAGACAGACAGACAGACAGACAGACAGACAGACAGACAGACNAGACAGACAGACAGACAGACAGACAGACAGACAGACAGACAGACAGACAGACAGACAGACAGACAGACAGACAGACAGATGCAGATTGTATGCAAACCTAGGGCTAGTATGGTCAGACTTTAATAACGCTCCTCACAGCTGTTCTACCTCCAGCAAATTTAGCTATTTTGCAAGACGAACAGGCAAAATGTTCACTGACTGCATCTGCAAAATTGATTGATGCATAGTCTAAATACTTGTGGATGTAAATGCAGCAAATGAGGGCTACTAACAATACAACTGTCACTAACACATAACAACTTTGAAACAGTTTCTAGTGGCATGAATACTTTAGTAAGAGACAATACTTGCAGCTCAGAGTTTTAAGCTGATTCCTAGACGAAAGCTGCAGCCCTCCTTTTCATACAAAATAACATAAACTGAGCAGGGAATTGTAAGGAAGAATTATGCTCTGTGAGAAAGCATGCATAGTAAATCAGACTTCACTGCAGCCCAAAGCACCTGAATTAATGTAAAAGGATTATTTAACAACATCTATTCTCGGCTGTGGAGCAATCAGGGACCATTCATGCACTTTCTCCAACTAAGAGCTCTATTTAAGGCTATCATGTTGCAATAAGATAGATGCTTTGCACTCAACAGGCCTTATTTTATGCTGCATGTACCCAAAAGGCTGCTTTAGTTTGATGGTTCAAAGAGAACACTGTAGCTGGGGCTGCATATCTTATGCTCTTCCACATACAATACATATATGGCATTATGGTAAAAATGGGCTTTACTTATATAGAGCTTTTTCAAGTCAGAAGTCTGGACCAAAGAGCTTTAAACAACATTCAGTAATTCACCCACTCACACAAATACTGATGGACATTATAGAAAGCTACCCTGGGGCTCACTGACAGAAGCAAGGCTGTGGTGCACTGGCATAAGCATCAGTAGCAATCTAGGTGAAGGACACAACGGCACCAAAAGCCAGAGCCGGGTCTTGAACCAACAAACCTCTGCATGCAGGGGAAACTCCTTCATCTGACACCACTGCCTACTACGAGTATTGTCAGGAATTTGTTTATTTCTAAATGCTGCAGAATTGTTAGAATACGGTAGATAAGATGATTGTCACTTCCAGTTTACCCTGAGTATTCTACAATTCAGATAGTTCTTCATCTAAACAGTCATCATTTTTAAGATGCCATGTTTAGATCATGTGCATTGTAGCTGGTAATTCCTGGTAAGTCTGTTATACAGAGATGATCCCAAGAGAAGTTTGGAGGAGAACAAATCTTGCCAAAAGATTTTGTGTTTTAGCGTAGAAATTAGAATTATTTCAAAATTATTTCAAAAGTAAAAGCATTCACCTATAATTAATCTTCTCCATGGTTTACTAATTACTTTTACTTCTGATGTTCACTTGTAAAATTTTCTCACAAGTTCAAAGGAATACCAAGCTTTTTTGAAAAAAAATTCTGGGAATTGTATTTTCCTTTATTTAACAAGAAACCATCTTACAGATAATGACTAAAAATTATACAAAACCACAAAATAGCCAATTACTGGCAGCAGGTAGGGAGAACTGACACAAACCAATGTATAAAGAAAATTCTGAGGATATAAGCAGAGCATAGATTGGGTTTCTCCTCTAACTGTTAAAGCTTCCTTTATTTAGTATTTATAATCAACCATAAACCTTTTAGACCATGGTCGAAATTTAAAGGAGTCATAGAATGCAAAACCGAGTTTCCATTGTCATAGATGAATAACGATAGTTGAGTGGGTGAAATGGACGTACAGAGAAGTTCAAACCCCATCGACACCTCCTTTCTCTGCAAATCTCACAATTGTAAACGTCCTCCATAAAGCAGGTGAATCCAAATGAATCCCCGGGTTGATGTAAACTAGGGGATGTTGCTTTATTTGTTTCTGGTCTGTACTTTTGTCATGCTCAGAAATGTACATACAGACCAGCCCACTGGTTCACTGGCCCAAGAACATGAATAGAGGTAGATGTAAAACACCAGTTTAGCTGTTTAGCCTACATTACAGTTGGGTTTACTTAAACAAGAATTACAAAGCAGGCAGTTTCTCTATTGAAAATGAGCCAGAACCACCGGCGTAAAGGCTGTGTTCCAGGCTGCATGGAGATAGGGGAAATTTTTCATAGTATTCCAAAGGATCCGAGGACTCCACAGGCATGGATTATGTTTGTCTATCAGAGATCCCTGCAAAGTTTAATGCTCAGCTGTTCATTTGCTCTAAGCATTTTATCGAAGAAAGCTTTCAAAATCTTGGAAGTTTTTGCTAATCACAACTGCAAGCTGTAAGTATTATTGTGTCGCTAAGCTGTTCATGTAGCAATGCTAGCATATCTAGGGTGACCAGATCTGGGTTTCTGAAAAGGAGGACACCTTTTTTTAGAGGGGGCAGAACCCGACCCAGTGACGCTTGTCCCCGCCTACCTTACTGTGCTTCCCCTTCCTGTCAGAAAGCACGGGGCCACCGGTGTCCAAGCTAACGTCACCGGGTCCGATGATATCTGATATGTGTAGACATCACAGCTTCTCATCATGCAAATCAGGGAACTTTTGAAAGGCTGATTAAAAACTGTCCGAGTATAAATTTTTGATAAAGTAGAAATAAAACCATCAAGCACTGAAATACAAACTTTTTAATGTCCTAAAACTGTTGCAGAATGCACCCACTAAATACAGATTGTCTATGGAGATTATTTTATTTGGTTTAAAGATGGCTTCTTTATGTAACAAGCAATAATATGTCGATAATTTGAATTCTTTGAATTTACTCAGGCAGCCAATTATGCCCTTGACAAATTATCAAATTAAAAAGGCACTTATAAATCAATAGATGATTTAAATGTAATACATTTACCATTTTAACCACATTCACATTATGGGTTTCAAGGGCAATGTCATCCTTCAAACGTCTTCAAACTTGGAAAACAAAGTCCAGTGTTTTTTTTTTACTTTTTTAACTCTTTTAGAATCAGCTTTTCTGAGTCTGATGCAAAGTTCATGATTTGAAAGGGGTTTTAGGTCCATTAACAGAAATATGTATAGATTAGGAAATATATATTTACGTCAAGCATAGAGACAGATTGTACATCTTAAATGTCTTGATTTCTTT